TGAGGGCAATGAATGTACAAATGTGCTTTACACAATTGATGTATGTATGGATTGTGATGAGTCGTATGAGCCCCTAATAAAATGATAAAAAAAAAAAGATAAAAGTCTTGTCATCCTTGGCTCTAAGGAGCACTCGGACCGTACTTCTTCCAATACAGATCAGTTTGTCCTTTTAGCAGTTCATGTTGGTTTATTTACATATTTATTTATTCATGTATGCATGTATAGTTGGCCAGCACCACAATTCAAATGCATTGCTTCGTCTTTGATCTTCCTATTCAATGTTCAACATCCACATGCATATGGGGCAATTGAAAATGCCATGGCTTGAGTCAGGTTCCCTTGGTCCTCATGGTAACATCCTTGCTTTTCAACATTGTAAAGAGTTATCACTTGACTGCTGCTTCCATGAGAATGGCTTGTGGATTCAAGCAAGATAAAATCCTTGACAACATTAACCTTTTCTCCACTTTTCATGATGTTAAGGTTGCTAATAAGCCTTCCTCCAATCCTGATGACACGTTATTCTTCATATACACCAGCTTTTCTGGTGATTTGCTCAGCATATAGATTGATAAGTACGGTGAGAGCACACACCTCGGAAACACTCCATTCCTGATTTAAAACATGCACTACTCCCTTGTTCTGTTCCACAAATGGCTCATGATCCACGTGCACATTCCCCCGGAGCACAAGGAAGTGTTCTGGAATTCTCATTCTTGTCAAGGTCATTCATAGTTTGTTATGATCCACACGTTTGAATGCCATGGCCTATTCAAAAAAAGCCAAGTAAACATCCTTCCGGTCTTCTTTGCTTTGAGCCAGGATCCATCTGCTATCAGCAATGGTATCCCTTGTTCCATGTACTTTTAGGAATTTGATCTGAACCTCTGGCAGCTCCCTAGCCATGTACTACTGGAACACTTGATGAATAAGCTTGCTCAAAATTTGGCTTTCATACGCTACCAGGGATATTGTTCTACAGTGTGAAAATTCTATTGGGTTATCTTAGATGTTGTTATTTCACGAATCCATTAGGTGATTATGGAGCAATGTTCGAGAACTATTGACCTAGCACATCAGTTGTTTCATGTGATAGTTACAAAGATTTTGGTGTCTTAATAATTTACTTAGGGTTACACAAAACTTGAACTCTAGCAACTACAACTTTTTAAATTTAAAAATTAAAAATTGTGTTGTGAACTGGATAAAAATAGAGTATATCTTGAGCATTGTACTTAACAATTCACACACATTTTTATTCATCACATTCCGTAAAATTCCTTAGTACAATTTCAATTATCCTACTCCTCTGTTACCTGTTTCTATTCCTCCCTCTTTTACTAACTCTCTGAACTTTGTCCTTGGGTAACAGGTGCCATTTCATCTTAAATGGTCCATTATTTTAAGGTATGCATATCTCAGTAGTGCTAACATTCCCCTTTGACCCACTGCCATCTAGTCTATTCCAACGCAGAGCCATCCTATAGCACAAGTGTCCCACTGGGTGTCTGAGACTAAAAATCTTTTACAGAGCAAAACGTTTCCTCTGTCTCCCTTGAATTATCCACTGGATTCAAACTGCTGACCTTACTGTTAGCAGTCCAAGGTGCAACCTACTCTGCGGCTCCTCTTCCCCCACCCCACCCCCACGTATACAAATGTGTCCATTGTTTGATTGAAAATTGAGCCATAGGACTGAGTTCAGTTCCATACCTGAATGGTGACTAAGGGTCCTGTTATCAAGGGTTTCAACCACCTCTGTCCAAATAGTTAGCCTGGTCTCACCTATAATTTTGAGTTTTGTTGCATATTGTTCCCCCTCTCTATTGAGGACCTCTAATGTGATCCTTTTTCAGAGAAGTTGAGAGTCGTAGTGGGGCACCATTTAGTTCTTCTGATCTCAACACCATGGAGATTTATGTATGTGTGGTCAGTGAAATCCAATGATGAATATTATTTTCACTTACCTTTGACTTTCCTCACTCCTTTTTCCCCCTTCTGGACAGACAGAGACTAATATTGCATCCTTTTCCTTGGGAGTTTTTAAAAGCCCTGTCATTGCTACTCAAAGTAGGATGTAGCACATGTCTTTATGGACTGTTTTATCGCAATTGCCTTTGGTGTCCCCTAACATTATTATGTCTCTGAGCCCCCAGGAACAGTGGCACATTTTCTTAAGGCATTGGTTTTGGTTAGGATGTTTTCATGGCTTCCCCTCTGTTAGCAACAACATCCATGCAAAGGTAAATGCCCATACAAATATCCTCTGAGAACCCATATGTATTAGTGGTTATACTGTCCCTTTCATCACTTTCCCTTCCAACTCATTCATCCTACCTGTCTATCCGTGCAGGTACTCATTATCACAGGACTGTGCATGTGACAGTAAGTACTCTTGTTGCCTTTAACTCTCCCACTCCTTCCAGTGTCTTACTCTGCTTCCATCATTTTTGATGACATCATATTATATACTGAATTCCTCTCCATTTAAAATTCTTGTAACTATACTACTTGATAGTTTTACTCTGTAGTTGTACTCTTTGTTATAAACTGATATCCCTAGTTACCTATTTTCAGTCTTAAAGATTTGTTTTACTTTGAACACTTTGTCTCTGAACTTATTTCTGGGTTGTCTGCTACTGTTGGTTCTCTGTTCAGTGTACCCCTTTGGCATTTCTTGTAAGGTTGCTTTGCTGTTTACAGATTTCTTTAATTTCTATGTAATTACAAATGTCCTAATATCACTGTCGTACGTGAGGGAAAATTTTACTTGGTTGGCAGTTTTTTCTTTCAGAGTTTTATTTATGCCATCCCATTGTCTTCTTGCTCATGTAGTTTCTGCTGAGAAATTGAAGTTTAGTCTTTTTAGCTACTTTTAAAAAATTTCATTATTTAACCTTAGCATCTTCCTCACAGGTTTATGCTATTAAAGAGAATGCATTGTGTTGTAATATAATTTAATAATTTACTGCTTGTTCTTATACTTATAAAAATAGAATTCACACAAAGTAAAATACATTAAATTTTTCATGCTTTTAATTCTCCAATTCTAGCATTTTTTAAAGAGATGAAGTGCAAGAACAGAAGCCCAGTAGGTTAACACACATAAAGCATCCTTTGCTTTGTGACCACATCCCCAGTGTTTGGAAATATTTTTATTCTCTGGTTAGAGAGTACGATTATAAAGACAAAAAGGGAAAGTTTTTCATCCAATGTCTTTATTCGGCATCAGATTTTATATGGAAGTACTAATAGTATATGTTAGGAAAGAATGCAATATACTGCTCAGTAATAGGAAAAATGTTGAGGAAACTAATAGAGAATGAAATGCCTTTCAAGAACAGATTTTCTATTTCACAAGGTTAGGAGAGCAATTATGTTCTTTTGAGCAGCTGATAGAGGACATCATCAAAATCGAAGTACTTCGTGAGAGAACTGTCAGCTCACCTTTAGATTAACAGATAACTTCTGGTATGTTATCTGTGGGAAGAGGAAAGCTGTTTCAGTAAGTAGTGTCTCTATTGTATTTCTTAACCTAAGCCAAAATACCTTTTTCCACATTGTTCTTCTAGTTACATTATCTCAAACAAAAAGAGCTACAAACAGTTCATACCATGCCTCCACACCCCACCCTCGTTGCTAGCCACATTAATTGTTGTTAGATGCCATCCAGTAGGTTCCAACCCATAGCAACTGGATACCCAACATTGCCCTGTCCTGCATCACCTTCACAAGCGTTCCTATGCTTGAAGCCATTGTCACAGCCACGGTGTCACCTCATATCATTCCAGGTCTTGCTCTCTTCCCCTGCCCCTGTGCTTGACCAAGTCAAATGGACTACTTTTCAATCTTTAGAAATCAAGTGGCTCACAGGTGCTGAATCTTGGTTCCTGAACTGTTCTAATGACTCAGCTGGAGCCTTCAGTTAGGTAAAGACATACTTAAAGGACACATCACATCTGCAATTGTCTGCATGTTACATCATGATCACAGCGAAGCCCATAAGATGAAGTGTTAGTTGACAGAACAGAAAAGAAAGAAACAGATGAGCATTTACATTTTCACATTATATCTTAATATGCTGACTTCTTAATCAGTGAGTCATCCGTGGATGAGATCTTTTTATTTTACTAAGTTACTTTTTAAATATACTTGTGAAAAAGAAACTCTAAAATTGATTGTGGTGATGATTCCACAACTTTTAAAAATGTGCTTAAACGATTGAATTATTTGATACGTGAGTTATGTATCAATAAAGCTGTTAAAAATTTAAAAAGAAAAGTAAATAAATGAATATGGCTGTAAGCCATGAGAGGTTGTACCAGATTTCATTTCAGAGGAATGTCATTATTTTTCACTAAGCTTCATGTGCATGACATTGTATATTAAAAATTAATCCTATACACATTTCATTCATGATCAGGAACAGTTGGAAAATTTGTCTTTACCCAAGGTAAACCAATAAAGTCCAAATAATTTAACCTGTTGTTCTCACTTGTAGTTTTGAGAAAGTTTCCTTATGCAGATGGTAACTCTTTCCCTATATTTAATCTTCTGACTTCCTTACATTATCTACCTTGTTCCTCCTTTATCTAGATATTAGTAGAACAGATAGTCATTTGTACCTGCTGATTTCCTGTTTTCCCTCTAATAGTCCAGAGAAACCTTGAACTTTTTTTAATTGAAAAAAATAGTTTGCTTAAAAGAAGAAGCCCCAAATTGCACTGCTTACTAAACTACAGAATAATTCTACATTGAAACTCCAATTTTACTTTTTGTGGGTCTCAGTGGCAGGAGAGTAGACAAAGAGAAAACGTGGAATGCAGTCTGATTGTGCATTTGCAATGATAAAGTTAACCGGGGCGGGCTCAGTTTTGCTTCGGAAGGTTTATTCCACAGAAGACTGTTGGATGTGGGTGAAATCACCTGAGAGGGACTTAGTTCTGCTTGGTGCCATATTTTACAAAAATCAGCAAAAGCTAAACAAGTAACGATTATATATTCTCTTGTTTATAATGTTGCAACAATAATCCTCAAAGAAATGAATGTGGACCCAAGTTTAGTAAATGTCTTTTCTTTCAGAGAACGTGCATTTTCAGGAGCATAGTAAGTTAATAATTATGTCAGTCTATATTGTGTCTAGAAGATACTCTTCTTAAGTTGATGAAAGACCTGGCTATCCAGAGTTGTTTGAGAGCCGAGAGTGCTTGACAAATTGTGGAGAAGGGAGAACTCAGCTTTGACCGAGGAAATATTGTTTCAAACTGAGTCCTGAGTTGGGGGGGGGGCGGGCGGTGGTTATTCTTAAAATTGATTGCGAGGAATGTAGAAATGTAGGTCGGAAAGGTCCAGAAATGCGAAGAAAATGATGGGATCAAAGCAATGCTTAGTGTTAGATTGCACCTTGCGGAATGTAGGCAGCATAAAGTCAAGGGGCTTAGAAGACAGTCAAAAAGTAGCTATAAAGTAAGCTGCAATTTTGAGTCTTGAAGTCTGAGCAGTAAAATTCATAGTTCAAGTCCAAGACATCAAGACTTGAAGAGACAAAATCCCAAAGAGATCTTAAATATTGAAATTATTGAAGTAAGTGCATCATCTTCCCCCTCAAAATATGTTCTAACCTTTATGTAGGCTCAAAGGCTGAGGAGTAGAGTAGAAATTAGTAGCGACGGATCAATGCAACTGAGTAGAAGTTTGGGCAGTTTGGTGTTTCACAAAGCTGGAGGGGAGCGAGAAAGCAGTCAACCTGAGAGCCATACAAGGAGGAAGGACTCGAGTAAATACCACTGAATGTCACAAAACGTCACAGATTCTGAGAATTACAGAAGGGCTATTTATACCCCAGAAACATACGTGCTACAATTGCATGACAGAGAAAAGTGATCTGCCCAATATATGAGTACCTGTCAGAAAACTCAAAGAAATTCTATCTGGATTAGATAGCATCATATTATCTCTATAACTTTTATAAGCAATACTCAGCATTTGTCAAATGCATTTACTTGGAATGTCAAGAGATAGAGTCAAAAGTCAGAAAATTAAGAGAATAAAGAGAGGATAAACAGATCCACAAGTGAAACCTAATGTTGGAGTTATTTGAAGCAGGCTTTTAAACACACCTTTTACTATTGTGCTCAGAGCAGGAGCAACGGAGAGTCCATTTAAAAAAAATATTTTTTAATATCTCACAATGTAACTAGACTTTATTGATTTTAATAAAACAGCAATCTAAAACTGAAAAATACAATTGAAACTAAGAACTTAATATAACTTTCATAGAGGGCTACAGACTGAAAAATAGATTAATAAGCTGAAGAGAAGTTTTTAGGAACTATGTAAACTGAAGGAGACAGGAGGAATAAAAGAATCCATGTTGTGGGGGAAAAACAACGCTGGACACAGTAAAATGATTTAATAGCTGTAACTGAATTTTCAAAATCAGAAGAGTAAGAGACAGAGTTTCAAAGGCAATGTTTGAAGTTAAAGGTTGAAATTTTTATACAATTGATGAAATGACATCAACTCCCACAATTCAGAATGTTAGGAAACACCAAGCAGAATGTAGTAAATATTACTGTGATATTTTACACCCTTTCTATCACACTAAGCCTTTAAAACTTCTATCCTTTATAGAATTAACAGTATATATCAATGAAAATTAGCCATATTTCAAGTGCTCATAGTCTCATTTGGCTACTTGTACCATCCTGGGCAACAATGATCTAACCTATAACAAGAATAAACTCTGCTAGTATCTTATTCATTTTGTCAATAGCTCTAATAAGCAATTTTCATGATACATTAGATATTTGGATTTATATTTGATTACTTTAACCAACAATATTCTTTTCAGAATTTTGCTTCCTTGCAATTAATCGAATCTCAGTAAATTTCTAATGTCATTTAGTAGTGTGGATATTGAATTGAAAAATTCTTTGTCTGGGAAATAATAACATCAATTTGTTTATTAAGTACAGTCCCAGCTTTACCAAAAAATACAAATCTATACAATCAGTGTTTAAATCAGAGTTTAATTTCTGTTAGCTAGTTATTTGAGAGTATCTATTCTTAGTCCAAACATGCTTGTTTATACAAAAATAAATAGCCCAGTGTTATTTGGCTTTGTGTAGTACTACATAGTATTATGTGGCTTCAAAAAATTCATGGAAAATGGAATGAAAAGATAATAGAATTTTTGACGAAATTTTGAAGCGCCCTTCTATATGTAGCATAGTATTATTTAATAAATTTCCTTTCATTTTCTTCTATTAAAGATAGGTTAATCAAAAGAAAGTTGTCAGCTAAAATTCATTATGGAACCTATTCTACCTTGGTAGTAAAGACAAATGAGAATCAGTCTTTATAAAAATAGAAAGTGAAATGTACAAATGTGCTTGACACAATAGATGGCTGTATGGGTTGTGATAAGAGTTGTATGAGCCCCCAAGAAAATGATTAAAGAAAAAAATAGAAAAAGGGAATGTTATGAGTACCCTTAACCAGACGAGCACGTCTATCTACCTTAACTTATTCCTTATTCCTTGTGACTTGTTCATTATTCCTAAGCACCTTAAATACCAACATATTGTTTCAAAGGAAAGAAATTATCTGAATCAAAAGATCTTATGTGGCTAGGTATCAATTTATGGATTATAAAAATGTAGCAACCATGTAACTCATGAAGACAAGCACTCACCATTTGAAGTATTCTGCTCTGCCCCCTGGACATTTATATTTGACATTTTTCTATGTTTTCTGAGATTTTCCTTTATTTACTGTTGGATTTGGTAGAGTAACATTAAATGTTCTCTTCAGGACAGAATGTCTTAAAAATGGACTGAGCTGTGGAGATGCAAACAAAATAATGTCATTTTAATCATTTCATTCATAAACTTTGAAAAATGCTTTTACATAAATCAATAATGGATTCATTATTGTAAAATAATTCACCAACACCATTCATTAATAAGTTACACATTTGGTTTTCTAGGATAAATATATATCAGCATATTATTTTAAAATGTAAATATATTTGAAATCATAAGCTTAATTAAACGAGCTTAATATTTTTACCAAAAGGCACATGTGTGTAGAGATAATATAATCTTTTGGTGAAACCTTAAATTTTATTAAAATAAATATGTGTTTTCACATATATTAATAAAAATTAATAACTGTCTGTGAGTAAACTGTGCTCCAATGAAGGTTGTTGCTATTTTCTATTGTGTCACTTCAAATGGACAGTGAATCCATACATCCAATGATGGTGACATTGATTTTTCAGTTCTGCTACCTCTCAATATTTTCCTTTCAACAAATATTTCTTAAACGCATACCTTCTGTGTAACACTCACTTTAGTATTGTGACCATGGCAGCAACAAAGTAGAGTCCATTCAAATACCACCACCAACATAGAAAAATGCCGGGGCTTAAGTGGAGAGGAAATGTTTTGAGAATGATGAGGGCAATGAATGTACAAATGTGCTATACACAATTGATGTATGTATGGATTGTGATAAGAGTTGTATGAGCCCCTAATAAAATGATTAAAAAAAAAGAATAATGCAATAATTTGAAACAACTCTCCAAATGTTGTCTGGTTTACAACCGCTATGAGGAATGCCTTCCAAATCATTTGCAAAAAAACCCAAAACAACTGATTTTAAACAAATCGGTGGACTTGGAGTATTTACTCAATCAACAGTTACTTTTTCCTGTGTGCCCTGGTGTGCAGGGCAGTCCATGCACTGCTAACCTCAAGCTCAGCAATCAGAGCCCACCAGCCACTCCTTGGAGAAAGATGAGTCTTTCTGTTCTCCTAAAGATTGGCAGCCTCAGAAACTCGAAGGAGTCGTTCTACTGCCTGATAGGTTATTATGAATTGGAATCTACCTGCTAGCAGTAGATGGTGGTTAGATATGACTAGCACCAGTCTTAAGATACGTCTATTAACGCTCCTCCCTGCTGCCACCAGGGCACCCCCCCCCACCCCGCCCCAGATGTATGAAGAAGCTGAGAATAATATAAAGAAGCATTGCACCTTGAGTCAAGTAAGTGCTAAGGACAAATGTTTAAGGACACTATCTGTATTATCTACATTTGATGCAACGAGATTTAGGGTCAGAGTCAGCCTCGTGTACGAAGAAGAACTGATCTCAGCGCAAAGTCTGACTCTTACTTTTCTGATGTCTGTGACCTTTAGAAAATTATCTACCCTTCTGAACTGTAGTTTTCTTATTCATCAACAGTGCCCATGCTATTATCCTATATACTTTCTTGAATTATTAGTTCTATAAAGTAGGTAGTCTTTGCTCGAGAAATGCAATAAGCTTAGTGGTTGATAGCCTGGATTTCCTTTGTTTGGGACTCCACTCCCACCATCTGCTTTTTGTCAGTCTTTTGATAAGTTACTTAACCTCTGTGCTTTTATTTCTCACACTTTGGGAAATGAGGATGATAAAATAAGAGCAATCTCATAGTGTTGCCCAAGGTACTTTAGTTAATGCACTTAGCCTAAGTTACTTAATGCAGTCTCTATGGAATTTGTAGAAATTTGCTCCACTGCTCAGAAGCAAACAGGATGGAGGCAGATGTTACCTAGATAACTCTGAGGGTCTTCCCTTATTTGCATGACTGTTAGTAATTTAAAAGCTATGTTCTGCTATCTATAGATAGTTAGCAGTGACATACTGGATCTTGCCTGTTTATACTCAAAAACTGTTCCTCATCATAATCTTGAAAATGAGTTATTGTAAAACACCTTCACATGACTCCCAAAGTATAAATTCAAAGTACTAGGTATGTAGTCTCTATGTATTCTGATTTCAAACAGGATGCCATCAAGACAGTGGTTGGCATCCTCCCTAGTGGTCCCCTAATCAACTTTTCTTCTTTCTTCTATCTTGGAGTTAGTGAAGCGGCTCTGCTGCTCTGGGGGTATGAACCCACAGTTGCAGTAACAATAGTATTGATGTGAGAATTACACGGGTTAGTATCTGTATAGTATATTAAGCTTAGTTTACTAAAATTAGGCTACAACAAGCTGATGAAGCACTAGAAGCATTCACTCATTTATGCCAAGAAATTTGGAGTGTAGCTACTTGGATGACTGGAAGAGATTACTTTTTGTGCCCATTCCAAATGAAGGCGACCCAAAAGAATGCTCAAACTACAGAACGATATCACTGATATGGCACAGAAGTTTAATTTTGCCTAAGTCTATCCAACAACAGTGGCAGCAGTACATTGACAGGGAGCTGCCAGGCATTCAGGCTGGATTCAGAAGAGGATCTGAAATGAGGGATATCATTGCTGACATCACATGGATCTGCGCGGAAAGCACAGAATAGCAGAAAGATGTTTACTTGTGCTTTATTGACTATGCCAAAATATTAGACTGTGTGGACCATAATGAACTATGGATAACCTTGAAAAGAATGGGAATTCCGGAACACTTCATTGTGCTCCTGCAGAACTTGTACCTGGATCAAGACACCGTTGTGGGAATGGAGGAAGGGAATACTGCATGGTTTAATATCAGGGAAGATGTATGTCACAGTTGTATACTCTCATCACACTAGTTCAATCTGTAGGCTGAGCAAATCACCAGAGAAGCTGGCTTATATGAAGAAGAAGGTGGCATTAAGATCGGAAGCAAGCTTATTAACAACTTATGAGATGCAGATGATCCAACTGTGATGCTGAAAGTAAGGACAACCTGAAGCACTTGCTGATGAAGATCAAGGAGTGCTGCCTTCAATATGGATTAGGACTCAAGGTAAAGAAGACCCAAATCCTCACAACTGGACCAACAGATAGCATCATGATATATAAAGATCAAGTTGCATTTGTCAAGGTTTTCTGTTTTTTTTTTTCTTGCTTGAAACTACAATCAATGCTCATGGAAGCAGCAGCCAAGAGATCAAAAGACTACTGGCATTAGGTAAACATGCTGCACAAGACCTCTTTAGAGCATTGAAAAGCAAGAATTTCACTTTGAGGACTGTATTAGTCTAGGTACTTTGGAGAAACAAATCCACAGCGACTCATGTATAAGAGAGAGTTTTATGTAAAGAAAAGGTGCATCATGAAAACATCCCAACCCAATGCTGCCCAAGCCCACAAGTCCAACATTAACCCATACCCAACACCAGTCCACAAAGTCCTTCACCTCACAAAACAGAGGCAATGATGCCGACTGCAGGAGGAAAGCTGAGTCAGTGAACGTGTAAGCATCTCAGCACTGGCAGGGGTCTCCACACGGCTGCTCCAGCACCCAGGGCTGCATCGGGATAGATCAAGTGGCTTCTCCTTGGGGATGTCTTGTAGGAAATCCATCTTGCAAGCTGAAGCAGGGAACTGCTAAGGCAGCTGCACCCGATGCAACCATCACAAAACAAGAGACCCGAGAACTAGAAAGGCGAGGCTTCACCACCCATTTATCCCTCCGCCTTTCAACCAGCACCACATGTGATTATCGGCCAGGCTGGCACAATTAACTAACTCAAGGACTAAGATACACCTGACCCAAGCCATGCTATTTTCCATTGCCTCATACACTTGTGAATGTTGGACCCTGAATAAGGAAGATCAAAGAAGAATCAATACATTTAAAGTGTGGTACTGGAGATGAATACTGAAAGTATTATGGGCTGCTAAAAGGGCAAACAAATCTGTCTTGGAAGAAATATGGCCAGAATGTCCCTTAGAAGCAATGATGACAAGACTTCGTCTTACCTACTTTGGAAATATTGTCAGGAGAGACCAGTCCCCCGGCTAAGGACATTATGTTTGGGAGGGACAGTGAAAACGAGGAAAGACCTCAATGAGCTGGCCTCACACAGTGGCTGCAACCATGGGTTCAGGTATAGGAACAACTGTGAGGATGGTGAAGGAGCGTTCAGTGTTTGCTCTGCTGTGCACCGAGTCAGTATGGGTCAGAACAGACTGGATGGCACCTAACAACAACACATGAAAACGATTAGGCATCCACGATTATAACCCTGTATGGTTTGGTGCAAAACCAAAGCAAATAGTCGCATCAATATCCATTCTAAGCAGTAGAGACGTCCCGACGTGGCACAAACTACTCAGCACTTAACTACAGATCTAGTGACCTCCTTCAGAAATAGCCTATCTTTGAAAACCCTTTAAAGCAGTTCTACTCTGCACATATGTGGTCACCACAAGTCAGAATTAACACTGCATTTAACAACAGTCGTTAAAGAACTACTTCTTTAATGTAAAGAGGAGCTAGTACTTAGCTTTGCAGTATGTAAAACACTGAAAATTATATAAGTGGACCTGGATCTACCAATAAGTTTTAAGGAACCCCCAAATCCATGACCATGTGTAAAGATAGAGCCTGAAGCAAACAACCAAACTCGCTGCCAGGAAGTTGATTTGGATGCACAGAGTAGAATGGCTCATCTCCCTCAGAGAGAATGGTGGGTTTCAACTGCTGACTCCGCCTTCAGCAGTGCACTGTGTAACCCGGTATGTCCCCAGGGCTCCTTGTGGAGACTACAGAGAGATTCAAACTGAGACGTTTGAGGAACTGAGACATTAGAGGAACTCAATGTATCTTGTGTTAGAGAAGTCATTAGAATAAAGTGTATTTAGCAGATTCAAAGTTTTAACACTATTGACCTGTCTGGTGAGAAAGGAACTTTAAAAAAATGCTATTATATCGGGAGACAGAAGAAATAAATTAATTTAAAAAAATAACTGCAATCAAGTAAATTTCTAGTCAGAACAATCCTGTAAGACAGAGTAGAAATGCCCCTTTGAGTTTTTTTAAACCTTTATAAAAGCAGTCTTATCTTTCTCCTGCAGATCCAGC